TAATTTTTTTAAAACAAAGATTTCAATTTCCTAAATGTTTGCATAGTTATTTTCAATAGTGAAAATGGTCTTTCCTGAAGAGCTCCATAATGATGAATCTACTTTTATTAAAATTCAACAATCCCTCTAGTTTCACATGTTTTTCTATTAAATTCAATAAAATTAAATATAATAATTCTTACTACAAAATAGCATGTGTAGCCTGATTATGCCCTACTTCATTCATTCGACCATCCATCTTCCCTATCTGATGTAGCTGCATATGTCACCGATGGCTGGGGTGACAAACTACGCATTTCTGAGTGATGACACTAGGGGATTTGTTTATTTTACATTTTTCTGCATTGTTTGGATAATAATATGCATGTGCCATTTTTACTTATTATTTTTTCGGTTTTAATACTGAGTGGACAGGTTTCATACCTGTGCTAGACAACCTTTCAACAGTCAGAGAGAAATGCCTGCTGACCATCATCAGTGAGTCCCTGATAAAATTCTTTCCAGTTAATTCTAAGAAAAGTGAGAGACCATAAATTCTAGGGTTCCAGCATTTACCAACTCTTAAAACATTCACATAAGATCAAAGCAGTCACATAATGCAGTCTGCGTGATGTGATTGCAGTCACGGAGCTCACGGTTCGTGATAACTACCACAGAAGATTTCATTTGCACAACTCTACATTTGGGGTTCAATGCAATAATGCCTCAAGACATTGCTGCATCATTGTAGAACAGATTATCTTCTATTCTATCTTTAATAAGGAAATACTTATAAACCCCCCTTAGTGAAAGAGATAGCCCAAGGACAGGGGAAAAGATTTAGCTCATCTATGTAGAAATACTCCTATCTGTGACTCCAAACTTAATAAGCATTATGTATAAGGGATTTAATATTAAAGTAAGACGCATACCAGCAGAGGTGCCTCCATTGTCTTCATAAACCGATGAATGTTCAGTGTAGTCAGTGACTGTTCCATTAGAGTTTTCCTACATTCCTGGGTGAAGTCCAAGACGGGTTTACAGTGGAAAAAGTAGAGATGTGCATACTCTATATCTTCAGTTCTACAGATAAAAATTAGGCACAGATCTACTTAATCAAGTTCAGTATGTGATCATTCTATCAATACATTTTAATTCTTGCTTCATGTGTGAAGACTGAATTACTATTTTGGCAAAAATGCAATATTAAAATAACACGAACTTAGGTAAAAATGACAAAGGGTATTAAAATAACATTAATATTTTAAACTAAGTACATGAATTATTTAAGCAATTATTTTCTAAACTCTCTCATACAATACTATCTATATTCGGTTATAAACAGATATAAGTAGGGAAGAGTTTCAAAATATTTGTGGAAAATTTCCATTATCTATTAATACAATTTTTCCACAAACTTCTTAAAGCTCCCCTTATGCATATGTATGTGTGCATCCTTTTTAAATAAAAGGCTGTCAAGTTATGGACAATGAGATTATCTTCAAATAGTTGCTTCTCTAGAGCTATGCTAAATAAAGCTCTGTAACACAATTTTTCTAGGTTTAATTTAAACCCAAAGCTGTTTTGAATAAACGTCAGCCAAAACATGCCTTAAGATAGAAACCATGTGACAGTTTGTGGGAGTTGGTGAGCTTTTTTTCTGCAATATTACAAAACTCGGCAAATATGGCTTGTAATTTGAGTTCTGGCATTCCTTTCAATATGATAATTCAAAGATAAACTTGTAGTGGGATAAGTTTTGCCAAAATTAAAATAGCATTTGTTAAACCTCCATATGACATTAGTAGACTTTGGCAAAATATACCAAAATTTTATTTTTAATATGCTATTTTAATTTTTGCTTCATGCTTAAACTGAGCATCCAAGGCACAATGATTTTCAAATTCAATATCAAGTAATTTCTAATAAATTAAATGATTAAGGAAATGCTCACACAAAGATTTACTTAATGTCTACTGTACGTTAGGCCTTGTGCTAAATGTGGGAGACAAGGAATAAGACAATTTAATCCTTGAGGGGCTCAAATACAGGAGATATATTTAGTAAACAGATCATTAACAGAGAACTGTACAAAGTGGTCAAAGCAACATAGAAATAGTACATTCCATCTCAAGTTGGAGAGAAAGAAAGAAAGCAAAAAGATTATTATAGAACTTTAAAAACAGAGAGAAAATGACTTCTCCCATGGAACTAAAACAAATCAGGATTTCAGAGGGAAGAATAGAAAATACACCCAAGTTACAATGAAAGTATATGGCTTTTGAAGGCATTCTGAATAGTTGCATATTACCCAAAGTACTGAGAGCTTAAGGACCCAGCTGAGACTGGATATCTTAACATCTGAATGAATCATTTCTGAAAGGTATTTAATCAGGCATCATTTGGTCACAGGTAAAGAAACCCATGAAATAAATTTATGGAGGAAAAACTGAGGGCACTTACTGAAAATACATAGTAGTATCTCAAGAATCTAAAGGAAAACCCAGTAACTGAATCAGATAAAGAATAAACGTCAAGTCCTTGAACCTGACAGTAACACATTGCAAATGCATAGAGTCCTTCAACCTGCCATTAACACATTTCTGCTCTCAATTCTCTCTGTGGAAATCTCTTCTCTGCTTTATTTATATATGGGAAAAACAATTCCTATATGCAAGACAGTCACACACTATAATCCACTTTTTCCACGCCCAATTCCAAGTTCCTAGGAAATAATCCAGTGGATTAGCTAGTCCTGGGTTGAAATCCACCTCTGATTTAACTAACTGTGATTTGTATGAGACAGAATTAACACCCTTTCTGACAGCACAAAAATTACTTAAGAAGGAAATATGCAGAGAGAACACAAAGTATCGGTGTTCCTATAGCGTGTCACCTTATATCATATATATCCTTCCTTAAAAGACATATAATTTCAAACATACCAGGAACCAAGATGATATAGCAACTAATAGTCTAGCCTTTCTGTTATAGCCTGGAATAGTGTCTAGCACACAGAAGGTACTCAATAAATATCTGTTCAATTCATGAAGAAAGGAAAAGTGTATTTACCCCATCCTAACAGGGAAGCAAGGAGCCCTGGTGGATTCATGCTTACATGTTGGGAGGCTAACTGCTATTCTCTAAAATTGGCCATCACAAAAAAAACAAGATTCAAGTGAAACTGATTTGACCAAAAATGCTCTGTGGTCAGAGAGAACCTTCCAAGGCCATGCCATTGGTGCACTAAGTCAGAGCTAGTTGCTGGATGCTGGCCCAGCAGGAAGACTACATACTACAAAAGCTCCACTCTTCCCAGTGCAATTCCAGTTTTGGGGGGAGCACTCCCTTGCATTATTCCTTTCTGGTTATTTCATGTTGAGAGTATTATGGAAATGTGGAATAAGTAATGTGAAATAGATGAACAACAAAAAAAAACCTTTAAATTTGTGATATGTTACTTATACATACCCAATACTTTCCAAAAGTGCAAATTCTGTCGTTAAAACAAATTGGTAGGTGGTCCCATACACAAAAGCAGCTTCCATGACTGCTCTGTGCTCTGCAGAAGAGACACAAGAGTTAGGAGAGGGCTTGTGTGATTATGACAAATTCTACTCTGAATATTTTTCTTACTCCCCTTTATACACTATTCAAACTACTCCAAAGAGAAAAATAAGCCCTTTAATTAAAAAAATCCTTTGCAGGGATCCCAACTGGACTATGCATGCAGAAGCAATGAACAGTCTATTATTCTATCCAAGGTAAAAGAAGAACTAAAATAGAGTAGAAATGTGGCTGCTTCTTTCTAGTAGTAGGGAACCCACCCACCCACCTGCTTTTGAGTCAATCCTGACTCAGCAATCCTGCAGGACAGACTAGAACTACCCCACTGGCTTTTCAAGGCTGTAAATCTTTTACAGAAGCAGAATGCCACATTTTTCTCCCTGCAGAAAAGCTAGTACATTAGAACCTCCTATCCTTTTGGTTAGTAGCTGGATGCTTTAATCACAGTGGCACCATGACTCCTACTTGTGGCGAAGAACAAGTGACTCCACCATTTAACTTGGTAATATTTTGTATAGTGCGTGGGAATTTTGAGTTCCTTCCAACCTGAGGGCTTTCAACACTATATCAGTGTTTCATTGCTATCAATAAGGTTTCACCACCCAGCTGTTTTGTTTTGTTTTAGAAAGTAGATCACCAGATCCTGTTTCCTAATCTTAGTCTGGAAGCTCCACTGGCACTTATCAACCCTGGGTGAGTCTACTGCATTTGAAATCCTGCTGGCAGAGCTTCCAGTATCACGTAACACACAGTGACCACAGTAAGACAAACTAACAGAAGCATTATATTAAAGAATACAACTAAATCATTAAGCAATATCATGACAAACCAAGAAAATACTGAAGTTGTCAAGGATTTCATTTTATTTGGAGTCATACTCAATGCGCAAGAAAAAATAGCAATAAATCAATGTACTGCATTGGGCAAATGTGCTGCAGAAAACTTCTTTAAAATGTTTATAAACAAAGATGTCACTTTGAGAATTAAGATGTGTTCAACTCAAGCCATGGTATTTTAAATTGCTTCGTGTGTGCGCGCGCACATTCACAAAGGTTGGACAATGAATAAGGAAGAGTGAAGAACTTATGCCTTTGAATGATGATGTCAGAAAATAATGAGTACACTATGGACT